CTGTGAAGTACATGGAATATGCCGTGCAAGTTGAAACATATACTCTTTCAAAGGCCAATAACTTGGTCCTCAATGTAGATGGTGCTATTGGTTCTTTATTTCTGGACCTTCTTGCTGGCAGTGGAATGTTCACCAAGCAAGAGATTGATGAGATAGTTGAGATTGGATATCTGAATGGACTCTTTGTCTTGGCACGAGCAATCGGTTTGATTGGGTAAGTTTCATGTCTATTATGAACTATTGGATTTAAGACCCTCTAGCATTTTTAATCCCAAATTCACAATGTCCACCAGTCAAACTTTGCCTGATTCTATGACAAGATAGATGGTTTAAAGTCAGTTCTATTTTTTTTTTTCATTACTAAAGTACCTGAGGTAGCAAACTTTATTGTACAGGGACCATTCGAGGGGAAAGAGATGTTAATGTAGACTAAATATCTTACCTATTCTCTTTTGATATATCAGGCACACCTTCGACCAGAAGAGATTGAAGCAGCCTCTATACCGTCATCCATGGGAGGACGTTCTCTACACCAAGTGAAAAAAGATGATTCGCCAATGGTTCAGTAACCAACCTGCTCTCCTCAAAAATTTTCCTTTTGGAAGGGTTTCTACTTTCTACATGCGAATTGCTGGAATGATTGTTTTGGTTGTTAGACCAGTGCTTGAACCGCTATTAATGAGCTGTAAGCCCCTTTGTTTGTAATTTTATATGGAGGGAAAATTTCAGTCATTTTACAAAACAAACTGATAATAACATTTAGAACTTAGTCTTGTTTAGGGAGGAATAAGAGATGCTGGGTTAAGATAAGAATGTTCATTTCATTCGTTTGCCTTCCATTCAGCTCTGTTTTAGAAGCTAAAATAAACTTTCTCGCATATGCACAAATTTGCCCTCTGTGATTGTAATTTCTTTTTATCACTATCCGTATGTTTGGGTTGAAAGAATGTAGGAGAATGGGTTGAGGGAATGGAGAAGTAGGGGGAAGAATATATTTTAGATCAAAAAAATTATATAGATCTTCTCTTAACTTCCATTCCGTTAAACCTCAACATATTAAAAATGATAGGTCAAAAACAAAGATAATTTGTGGATAAAAAAAATTAAGCACACTTTCATTAAACTCCAAGCAGAAATCCTACCTAAAAGGCTAAAACACTTCCGTCAAGCTTCTAGGTGACGTCCTCGCTGAAACTTTGGAAGCTTGGTGATTTTGAAGTTTACAATAAATACGTTTATTAGATAGTAATTATTAGTTCATATTTATTGGAAAAAAAATATATAACAACTAAAATTGAAAGAGTAAAAAATTTTAAAAATATGACATATTAATGTTGACTCTAGAGTTTAAATTCAAAAAAGTCATTTTTAATTATTTTAAAAAATTAATGATTAAATTTAATGTTATATTCATGTAAATTACTATCAAGTCAATTTTATAATGAATTAAATATACTTAATACATTTTTTTAATTATATTAAATTTAATATCATTAAATATATAAAATTATATAATTTTTTAA